TCCCCAAAACCCCAAAACCCCATAGCAATATAAAATGCATTGATTTATGCACTTGCATATTTATTATCATTAATTAAAAGAGATAGTATACTCTCTATTTTCACTCTATTCCATATTATCTCTAAGAATTTTGAACACACTCGTAGCTTATTTCTTCATATACTCGATGCTTTTACCTATTTATTCAAAGTTCATAGTTGAAGGTTTTTATTCGAGTGTTTGTATAGCGTTTGTGTATGTTCTCACTGTTTATGTTTTTTCTAATAGGGTCTTACCATCTTCAAACACCATAACAGATAGCAAATTATTAGTTACGTAGCTTTCTTCCTGAGTTGGATCTGCGAGCATCTGATCCTCGACTACACAAACAGTACTTTCCCACATAAGTTTCTGAATCAATTTAATATCACTGTGAGTGCTTTCAATCTACCCTAGTAAGTCCATAGCAAGAGTAGTGATGGCGCAGAATAGGTTGCCATCATCAGTGAGTACATTGAAAGAGAACTTGATCTCTAGTTTGTGTTCATTTAGTTGAGTGAAATTCAATAGTCTTTCCAGCTTAGACTGAACTTGATCTGAGAAGTATTGATCTTTTTGCTCTTGCATGTCTCTTCGAACTAGAGTCTAGATCTCTCGAATCAACTGCACGCTAACTGAGAGAGGCTTCACAGAGAGTACTGCATGATCTGAGGGTTTTACACAAGCTTGCCCAATGATTAAAGTGTTGCCTTAGTGAATTGCTGATGAAACTCTAAGATTAGTTTGAGATAGTGAATTCTGATTATTAGCGGATGGCCCTCCTGCAAGTGACAATTTAACGCTTTAATTGAGGACATCTCTTTTGATTGTAAGAGATCTGTGGCTTGTCAAGCCTCTAGAGTCAGCTCTCACTCCATTCCTAATCAGATAAGCGTGATACTCGTGAGGAAGTAGTTTCTTAAGCAAATCTACAGGGTAAATTAATTTATATTGAATGCATACCTGCGTCCATTAAATTAATTTTGATTATTATATACACAATTATTCATTAAATTATCTTTAATATAAATTAACTTTTGTTAAGTGGGGTTTTGGGGTTTTGGGG